TATTTAATATAATTTTATTTTATTTTATTCTTTAATCTTAGGTTTATTGAGGATTAAACTTTATAATTTAGAAACATGAGTTTTTTTTTATATATATATTGCCTTCAAATATACTAAGTCAATTAAGTCACATCAAATCAATTCTTTTATAATTAAAAAAATATTAGAAACATGATTAAATAGTTTTTTAATATTAAAAAAATATTAAAACAATAACATAAAAAGTAAAAAATTAATACAGGCTCACAACATAGCATGAGTAAATGATTAAGTAATTGTTAATTGTAAACATATTATAAAAAAAATTGATTCAACCTACATGATCTAAGAATTATTAATTTTGTCACTATATAAAAAATGATCTAGTCATCATTAATTTAGTCACTATTTTTTTTTATAATCTTACAAGTTAATATCTTTAATTATGAAAACACAAGTTAGATTATCTTTAAACTTGTAAAGTTAATCAAATCACATCAAATCAATTCTTATATAATTAATTTTTTTTATAAAAAACATATTAGTAATGATTATATATTTTTTTAATATTTAAAAAATATTAAAACAGTAACATATTAGATTAACATAAATCAATAAATTAAAAAAATTGTTTCGACCGGCGTAAAGTGTGAGTAAGTGATCTAGTAATTATTAATATAGTCCCTATATTTTTTAGATTAACACAAATCAATAAATTAAAAAACTTGTTTCGACCGGCCATAAAGCGTGAGTAAATGATCTAATAATTATTAATATAGTCCCTATATTTTTTATAATCTTGCAAGTTAATATCTCTAGTTCTGAAAAACACAAGTTAGTTCTTTAATCACATTGGCAACTTCATACTATGAAAACCAAAAGTTAGTTTTTAAATTACAATCAATTATGAAAATATGGCAACTTCATATTCGGTAACCTGAATGAATGTTAAATAATAATATTCGTTAAGATAATAGAGATCGAACAAATATAATAGTTTACTCGGTAGCTTATCGAGGACCTCGTGGGGACGGGTGTAGTTGTTGTCTTCTTGTATAAATCGGCAAGTGGAAGCCAGCATCTTCGGTGGGAAGCTACCAAGCATTCAAACAAGATTGGGACTCGAAGGGATCCTCGAAATCAAACTACACCATGACATAGTCATTGTGACATCGATACAACAACGTCATGCATCTAAGTTTACATTTTTTACTTCTTCTCCTGTTTAGTCTTATATTTTATACGATGGGACCTCGCTTCTTGTGATATGTTTGGCGAGTGTGAAAATGAATCGAACAAGATTAAATTAGATGAGGAAGAGAAATCTAGTTTTGCTAACAATGATGAAGGTAATGTGTAATTACTAATTAACAAAAAAAAAAAACAAAGAAATTAAGGAGTGTGGTGAAAGCACTGTTCACTCATGCTGCAATCATTGCGTATTGTAATAGTTTGGTGAATTCTCTTCTTTTTTTTTTTCTTTTTTGTAATAATTTTGCTCGACTGTGATGGGTTATTAGAGGTTTGGGAAAATCTCTTAAAATTAAATAGGCTTTAAAATTTTTATTTTTGTTCTATACTCTTGTGTATAATTTTAAAAAATAGTTTCATTATTATTTTCATATTAGGTATTTTTCACAATTAACTTAGTATAAATATTATTATTTATTTTATTTAAAATAATTTATAAAATTAGATTTTTTTTTCTTCAAATTCATTCTCCTTCAATTTTTTTTATCTTTTAGATTTAATCCCTATTCTTTTAATAATATTTTTTTATATAAGATAATTTTTTTTAAAAATTTTTTACAATTTCATCCTTTTTAAGATTTCTTTTCTATCAATTTGATCTATGTTATTTTAATTGATATTTTTTTAATCCTTAACATTTTGTTTATAGTGATCCATTTTTTCTCAATTTCATACTAGCATTGACTATTTTTTATATTATTCTATTATTATTAAATATTTTGGGTTGGACCTAGCCTTGCTGTCTAGGCAGGGCAGAAACATGTCCAACCCGACTCAGTCAGACTAGGTTGGTCCGACTAATGACCCAACAATCCCTTTTTTTTTAATATCTAGGATGGGCTTAAATGAGTCCAGCTTGGCTCACATGGTTGTCGGCCTAGCCCAGCTACCATCTGAATTAATTTTTTCCTTTTACATGCAAAACAAATTATCATTCTGCATAGGGTGGCCGGTCTTATGGTAGGGGCAGAAGAAGCTTACTTGGCATAAGGGTGGCTGGTACGGTGGTGAATGCTAACTCTTGTTGGTGGATGAACTGGCAATCACAATGACGCAAAGAAGTTGGTGGTTGAGAGGTTAACTGATTGTAGTGTAGGGGGAGAAGTACGGTAGCTTACAAATATTGTCAAGTATTCATGATTATACCTTATGTTGACAACAAATTAAGTTCCTTTCATAGCATAGGTGTCGGTTATACCATACGGTTTATGCTATAAAAGTGTCAAATATTTGTTGTATCAAGGTTATACAACATAAATCTAGATTAAACATTTAACAAACAAAGTATTAAGAGTGAATAAGATAACAAATACAAAACATGTTGAGTTTATACTATACTTATTCTTACACCATTTGTTGCTACCCAATTTTTGACCTATGTTTTGATATATATTTTTAAATAAAAAAATAAAAAAAAATAACAAAAAAATAATAATAAGGGTTTGCATGTGGCGATAACATAGAGCATCAGGGCTAAGGAAACAATATGTCAAGGAGATAATTACTGAATCATATATAATTACTGAAATATAAAATACCATAGATATATGATTTGATTCGTACTGATTATGGAAAATAATCACTGTAATATAAAATACCATATATATAAGATTTGTTAGTGCTGGTTATATAAAATAATCTCTGCAATAATTTTTGCAATATTTCTTTAAATAGTACGTGTAGGGATTTTCTATATAAGTAAACCTTCAACCACATACAAAGGGAGGGAGAAAATTTACAATGAGATAATTTTACACAATTGAGAGTAACAATAAAAAAACCCTAAAAACCATAACCCTTACTATCCCTTCCCCGGGGCCACAACAAGAGGAAACCAAAGGAGCGATGCCCCCCTTTTTGCCTCTCATCTTCAACCTTCAGCCAAAGGTTGTCCCTTCCCTCTCAAACGGCCATTCCACCATCTCCTTCCCCACAGACCAACCAACCCCAGCTCCTCCCCAATACAGCCCCAGCCATACTATCCCCGTCGTCTGCCTCGTAATCTCCAAAATCAAAGCCAACTCTCCCTATTTTTTCCAGCCAATTGCCTCCCAAACCCGCACACACTGCCTCCTTTCCATTTCTCCTCTTCATCGTCCTCTCCTTTCTCAGTTGACCCACAACCATCACAGACCGGACCAGCCACCAGCAATAGCAAAGACTCAATACTTCCACAGAGCCAGCAACCCCTCCCCTCTCTATAGTGACTCCACCGAAAGTAGGCGACAGCAGCCCATAGACCCACCGTTATCCCTTTCCCCAGCGGCGACACCCACAGCTTCGACCTCCAACACTCCTTCCACAACCGCCAAATCGGCCACCAAAGAAGGGAAGAACAATAAACCATAACTGAAAACAGACAAAAAAAAAAACAGATCCAAAAATGAGAAAAGAAAACGATAGAATCAATTGTTTACGGCCTTTTTTTGTGTTTTGCAGGTCATCACTGGCGAGGAAGGCAAGAGGGGAGCAAGCCGCTCCAGATCCCCCAGCTGCTCGAAATTTCTTGCAGCGGCGCCTGAACCCACGCGCCGCCAGTGGCGGGGGGGGGGGGGGGGGAGATGCGTCGCCACTGTTCCTACATTCCTAGAAGTGTTCCTCTGCAATTCCTGAATATTTAGGGGTCTATTTTGCAATTTTTGAATTGTATATTATGTGTTTAGATTTGTTTTGAATTTATGTTATTTGTAATTATATATGGGTGTATGAGAAAAATATAATAAAAAATAGATGTGTGTGTGTTTGCAGTTTTTTATATATGTTATTAAATTATAAAATTAAAAAGACAAAAAATGAATTTATTGTTTTAATTTGGTGTATGGTCAAGTATCTGAAGGGCAAATAAAATCATGTTGTATTTCCCGTGACAGTGTAAGAACATGTTTCTACATATATTCTGGGATTTAATAACTGATTTATTAAAGCCTTAAGAATTTGACTAATATGTTTAATTGCGATTAGCTGTGATGTGTGTTTTACAAAGAAAATATATAAAAAAAAAAATTGTGTTGCATACGACCAATACCTTAACATGTTTTTTTGAATTTTTTTTTATACAAAAAATATTGTAAGTTTTGAAAATGTGTTTTCGTATGGATTTCTTAAACACAACAAAAATTATTTTCTTGCATTTCTGGATTTTACAACATGCTTGTAAAACTCCAAAGGGTATTGGTCAATATTTTAAAAAAATAAAAAATCTTATTTTAGGGGAAATTCATCTATTATTCACCATTAATGTTTGGATAAAAAAATCTCAAAGGGATGAATATCCAAAATATTTAATGGGAATAACTTGTTATTATTCACAGTTAATATTTGGATAAAGAAACCCAGAGTGGCAAATATCCAAAATAATTTTCTAGGAATAATAAATCCGCACACATACTTGAAAGAAGTCTTGATTATAATCGAGGACATTCTAATTTTTTTTACTCCACGGTTTACTCCAAGGCAAAAATAGGTTTTTTTAAAAGCACCCTAAATTTCTAATTTTTTGTTCATCCTCCTTACGATTTATGAGTCGCAAACTCTTGAAATACCAAGGGAAAAATGAGCTTTTAAAGCACATGGAATCTCCTTAAATTTTTATTTTAATAAATTTAGTTGGAATCAAACCTAGAAAAACTGATGAGATTAGAAAACACCAACACCATAGCAATGATAAGGCAAATCAAACACCAAACAGCTTACCTTAGGTAGGGCGTACTAGAGGTACTAATATCTTCCCTTTACGCAACCAGTCTCTTGCTTTAGAATCTCTGAAAGACCCAGTTAGGTTTTCTAATGACCAAAATACTAAGTGGCGACTCCTTTACTCACAAAAACAAGAAAATGACCCCGAAATCAATCGAGGATCGCCACGCTCCACCGCAAGAGTGCAACACCATTAGTGTAACCTTTTCACCTTGACATAATAAACTTAGCTAAACATAATAAAAATGAGAAATATAAATAAACAAGATAAGAACACAAATAAGATATAAGTTAACTAAGTAAAGGAATAAAAATGAGAAGCATAAACAAGAGATTAATATAAGCAAAACTTAAGCATTATAATAAAAAGAGAACAAGAGCATGATCTTAATTTGAAAACTAAGATGCCTAAATGCATGGCAAATGCTCATTTTATGGGTCAAAATTAGGAACTATTGATTTGATGACTAATTGTTGAGTGGGTGGTCAACTCTTGACTTGGTGATACTCTGTCTTTTCTTATCTATCAAAAAGTCATTGCTAACATCAGAATTTGGATAAATTTAAATCATGAAAGTTCTAGGAAATTATCTCAGCTTTTCATGAAAAAAAATTGAAGTCATTTGGACTTCTAGAACTCAAGACATGAGCTGAACACTAAATAGTGTCTAGGCTATAGAAAAGATTCAGACATCCTCGTTGTTGCTAAGATTTGGACTCCCAAACAACAGAATTGAGTCTTGCCTTTCCATAAATATTTTAGGCATATGTCTTAGCTTTCCATCCAAATAGAGCAGACATAAATCCAAGATCTATAGCTCTATATATGACCCAATGACCGAACAGTGTTCCAGTTTGGGTTGAACCAATATCTCTTTTCAAAGTTTAGCCTTCTCTTTGTCCTTTCAATTTCAGTACTTAAACTCATCAATCAATCCTTTCATTTATGTGATAGACCTGTATTTAAGATGAATATTTACCATAAATTAAAGGTATTTTATAGTATCAGACTTGTTATTATAAAACATGTTTTAGTTAAGAAGTTATTGATACTTCAAGTGCAAAATGATGATATAAAATCTTGATAAAGTGCACTTTTAAGTACTAATCAACTGGTCTATATGTGACCCTAACTGACTATTGGAAAGGTGCCTTTGTTGAGGAATTCATAAGAGAGGGACAGTTGAAATATTACAAAAATTCCAATCAATAATTGCTAAGTGTTTAACCCTTTTTTATATATCTCATTGCTAGTATAAGGTTTTTATTGCTTTTTTTTTTTAGGATTTCAATGAAATAATAAGTTTGTTCTTCATTTGTGTCTCTCCTTTTGATTTGCAGCCAAAACATCCTAAAAGGGGGTTCCCTCTAAGAACTCACAAATACACTTTTGAAGCCTCACGTGATCTTCTTTTGATTTGCAATCAAAACATCCTAAAAAGGGGTTCCCTTTAAGAATTCACAAATACACTTTTGAAGTCTCATGTGATCTTATAGACTCAATTCATCTCTTTTACCAAAATGAATTGTCCCATTGGAATTTTAAAAATTGAACTTGCATTTTGATCTCAAAAATAAGTTGGTGTTTATTTAAAATAATATTTATGACATTCTACTTTTAGAATGACACATGAATCAAGCAATTCCTTCATTAAGGTGACTAAACTCTGAACCAAAATGCACGAATAGAAAAAGAATTGTCATCCTCACACTAAAACTCTTGAGACATGTTATTTTAAATGTATGAATAATGGTATGTAGTGAACTCATTGCTCATGAACTCATGAAATGCATCTCTTTGCAAAGACAAAATCATCGTATTGGATGAGGCCAAAGTTTATTGATCTTAACTACTTGTGTTTGAAATGGGGAAATGCCATCGTTGTTATTCCTTTTATATTCTAAAAAGTATATCCCTTGCAGTTATTTTTTGAGCTTGAATAATTTTTCTTTCATGAAAAAACTCGATTAGGATTACACCCCACACTAGGGGTAAGCAAGAATTTTAAGAGTCATGAGAAAGCCAGAAAAGCAAAAGAGCCCATGAAACTCAAATGCTAGGGGGCATACCCAAATCACAAAAATGAGTGAACCAAGATAAAGTGAATATGCTCTAGAAAAGCAAAAAGAAAAAAGAAAAGAAAAAGGGCAAATCAAAGAAAAATAATAAAAGAAAAGATGAAAGACAAAGAGTCAAATTGCTGATAGTAATTCTCAGTCTTTGAAACCCTGAAACACTCTTTGAACCTTACAATCTTTTCTTTTATAACCAAAAACCTCAGCCTACATTACATGTCTATAGAAGTCATTTCCAATCAAGCAACCTGGATTAATAAGCAATGCTCTCAAAATGCAAAGAGTACTTCTTTATTAGAGCCATGACATTGAGAACAAGTTATTCATTATTATTCATGCTAATAAAATAGGTGTTCAAAAAGAGACAAGTTTTTCTCAAACAAAACCTCGAGCTTTTTCTCGAGCCCCTTATGATGTACTTTCACCAAATACTATATCACCAACACAAAAGAAAATCATCTCTTTTTCAAAAAATAATCAAGGAGTTGCAAGATTTCAAGAGCAAATTGTTTTAAACTCACATCGAAATAAATTTTATTTTCAAGAGGCAAGATCGAGATTTCAAGATTCCATTATTTTTCCGAGAGAATCACTTAAAACCATTATTTTTCCGAGTCATTGACAAAGCACACCTAGGAGCAATGACCAGTACAAGAGGGCAATATTATGTTTAGAAGGAAAAATTGATCCCTTATAGAAAAATAGATGAACATTTCTTACAATAAGACAAGGGGGCATCTTGGTTTATAAAATGCAGCTTGATCCTTTCAGCAAGTAATAATGAATGTTTTTAAAAGTGAGATGGGGATTAATGAATTATCCTCTCAAATTATTTGACGAGACAAAAAATCTCTAGGAAGCAAGTGGGTCATGATGGGCACCATAAAAGCTAAGTTGTGTGAACGAATATGGGAAGAGACTTACATGGACCAACTCGAGTAGGCTAGAAGCTTAACGATAAAAATGACCTAAATCAGAGATAGTAAGTCGTAAACAAGAAGATTAAGAAGAAATGGGGGCCTATATTTCAAAACAGGTAAAGATGCATGCATGTCATCTAAACTTTGAGACATCGGATAACAAGTTTTGCAAAATTGGAAAGAAAAATCTCTAACGAGATCCATCAAATGAAAGGCCATCTTGAAATGGTCAAGTTTGAAATTGCTTTTGGAAATTTTTCATATTTGAGAATTAGGCCACAAAAAAAAAATCTCTTTGTATTTTTCCACCACCTTTTCTCAACCATCTAAGGTAGTGTGTTTCCTAACCCTACCCCTTTTCGAGCTCGTGTTTGAGCCCTCGCCCCTTTTTTAATGCACCTTCGAGCCCTCAACCATTTAAAGGTAGTGTCTTTCCTAACCCTATCCCTTTTGAGCATGTCTTCGAGCCCTCAACCATCCTTTTGAGTGCACTTTCAAGCCCTCACCTCCTTTGAGTGCGCCTTTGAGCCCTTGACTATCCTTTTGAATGCACCTTCAAGCCCTCACCACCTTCAAGTGCGCCTTCGAGCCCTCGATCATCCTTTTGAGTACACTTTCGAGCCCTCACCTCCTTTGAATATGCCTTCAAGCCCTTGATCATCCTTTTAGGTGTGCCTTCAAGCCCTCATTTTCCTTTCTCTTTTTACTTGGGTAGGTCTCTCATTATAATGAGACCCTTTTTTTTTTTACTTGGGTAAGTCACCCATTACAATGAGACCACTTCTAAGAAAAATCTCTTTGTATTTTCACCATTAGGCAAGTCACCTGGAACAATGAGAGCACTTACAAGTTTCCTCGTATTTTATCATTATGCTAGTCACCTAGAAAAATAAGACCACTCGCGAAATCCTTCGCGATTCTTCTTCCTATCGGGCAGGTCACCTGGAACAATTAGACCACTCGCAAAATGCTTTTTACATTTTATTCTTCATCGAGTGGGTCATCGAGAAAAATAAGACAATTCGCATTTTTTTTCTTCATTGAGCAGGTCACCTGGAAAAGTGAGACCATTCGCAAAATCCTTCGCGTTGCTTCTTCCTATTGGGCAGGTTGCTTGGAACAATTAGACGACTTGCAAAATCCTTTTCATGTTTTGTTTTTCATTGGGCAAGTCACCTGGAAAAATAAGGTCACTCACAAAATCCTTTTTGCGTTTTGTTCTTCATCGGGCAAGTCACCCAGAAAAATAAGATCACTCGCAAAATCCTTCGCATTGCTTCTTCCTATTAGGCAGGTTGCCTGGAACAATTAGACCACTCACGAAACCCTTTTCACATTTTATTCTTCATCGGGCAGGTTGCCTAGAACAATTAAATCATTTTTATTTTTAAAAAACTTGATAAAAAAAAAGAGGAAGGGTTTTCACAATTATTCTTCTTTACAAAACTTACTATACAAAGTCAAAAGAAAATAAATTTTCTAATGCCTTTGCACTATAAGCATTGTAAAGAGGGGGCAACTATTATAACTCAATTTTGGCCCAATGGCTTTTTAATTTAATTTTACAGGGTTTAAAATGTAAAATTAAAATATCAAATATTTATTTCAATGACAAGTGTGATTTGGCAACTTGCATGAAAACTAGAGACTACAATGTACTTTTGTCATTCTATCATATATCTTCAAGATAATTGTTGTTACCTATTTTTAGGTTCCCACAAACAAAAAATTAAAAATTAGAAAATACAAAAAATATATATCAAAAAATTTTTCGAAAGAAATCCAAAAATAAAAGGGGTGAGAAAAGGATGCTGGAATGTTGAAAAAGGGATAAAATTGGTTGAGGAGGTTCAAAAATACAAAATGTTGAAATTTGACAGTATATTTTTTTTTACTAAAGAGAGCTCTATTGACAAAGAAAATTCAAGTCTAAAATCAGATGTTTATAAACTCAATTAAAAAAAATTTAAGGTTTAATTGAATTTATGGAGGGTTCGATTCCAAGAAAAATGGTTTTTTTAAGTCAATTTAGGCTTTTTTTTTTTGGAAGAAACTAAAGTTCTGAAGTCCAATTATAATTTAAAAAAAAAAGAAAAAAAAGAGAGAGTTGAATCAGGGGCTTAATTGCATAATTATTGAAATTTGATGGCCGATTAGGGACTTAATTGAAACGATTCGAAACCAAGGATCAAACTAGAAAGGGCGTTAAAATCAAGGGATCCAATTGCAATTCATACTAGGGGCTTGATCACAAAGTTGTCAAAACAGCCGAGGATCGAATCTAAAATTTTAATTTTTGAAATTTTGAGACAGCGCCGAGCACTATTTATTGTCTCCTTAAAAAAAAAAAAAGCCATTTTCAGCATTAAAACAGGGATACAGTTTGCAGCAAATTGCTTAAATCATGGGGCATGTTTTAAGGCTTGTTCTGGGTACCATTTTCACTGCAAGGCTCTCCTTGGCTTATAAAAGCCAAAGAAAGACACTGAACAAAAGGGAGAAAAGAGGGAGCAGAGAAGGAGAAAAAGGCTTGTTCTGGGTACCATTTTCACTGCAAGGCTCTCCTTGGCTTATAAAAGCCAAAGAAAGACACTGAACAAAAGGGAGAAAAGAGGGAGCAGAGAAGGAGAAAAAATAACAATGAGACAGTGAGGGGACGACCGAGAGGGGAGACCATTGTACACAGAGGAGGACGAACAACTGATAGAAGGAAACACCCGAGATCAAGAGGAGAAGAACCAGACAGAAGCAAAGGAGGAAGGAAAACAGAGGTAGGTGCATCTGCATAGGAGAAGAAATACTGCAGAAAATAGTTGTTGGCTTTGCGCTTCCCGGCCACTGCCATCGTCAGAACCACCGGGAGACCTCGCCGGCCGCCTCTCCACCGCCACTAGCATCACTGGGCATGTTCGCCATCGTCTTCAACATCGTTTCCACAACCAGGTTTGTCCCCCTTCTCGTCGTTGTGCATGCACCATTTCCTTGCATTTTACTGTTCAAGTGAAATATAATTCACTTGAACAGTGAAATGCTATTTCATTGTTCACGTGAAATATAATTCGTGACCTGGTAAGGCCTGCTGGGTTCAGCCTAGCCACATGGGCCGAGCTGGGTCCAACCCAAAAAAAATAATAAAAATAAAAATTCTTCAAAAATTATTTCAAAGAATCTGTTGATTTTTCAGTAATTTTATTGCTATATTTTGATCAATAAAAGATATAAACCGGTATTAAAATACCTGATTTTCGTCAAGACATAAAAAAATATTTTGTTTTCATGCATACGGCCTAGTCTCTCCAATATATATATATAGTAGCATGCATTTTGGCTTTAATAACCAGTTTATTCAAGCCATGAGAATTAGGCCAATATTTCAAAAATTCCAAAAAAATTATTTTGTTTTCTTTTAATATTTGGGGTTATGATCTTATACGTAAGACGTATTCCGAATATTAAATTCTTGTGTTTAGGTCAGACTTACTCGATAAGATAAGGACCTCCTTATTGAGGAGGACTTTTCTTGAACCATAGACGGACCAACAACTAGAAATACAATAACACCTTAACTTTTTATCAGACAATCAAACAATGTAGCTTACCTTAGGTAAGGCGTATTTAGGGTGCTAATACCTTCCTTTTACGCAACCAGTCCCCGTACCTAATCTCTAAGACCAGTTAGGGTTCCTAGTGACCAAAATACTAGGTGGCGACTCCCATTCTATTTTCCACCAACAAAAGACAATACTTTCTTGTCTCCCCCACATTTTCTAGATAGATACCGTATACATGTTCATTGATAAAGTGGAAAACTCATCGCGACGCCGCACACGTGCGATAATAATCATTGTCTTCAAGATAATTATAGTTATTCATTCAAATTTGATTCTTAATCAAATTCAAGCTTCAAAAAAGAGAATGAGTTTGATTGAAATTTTTTTTGTCACACATGAATGGACTTTGACACCATAAATACAAACCTCAGTGTATGCAAAAAAGGGAGGAAAACAAATGCAGAAGGAATAATACCAATTTTCCTAGCAACGAGCGCCTGCATCAATCTTCGCTCAAGAAGTTGGCAACAACAGGTAAGTCATTTCATCCCCTCATTTTCACTTTTAATTACCATCTTCCTGTAGCAAGTGCGCACAAGTAGCTCGCACACGCTTATAAAGAAAAATATATCAACTGGGTTATTGGTCTGAACCAGTAACTGGACCGGTTTCGCTGGGTTTAGCCCAGCCTGCATAGCTAAGCAAGATCCAGCCTAAAAAGAAAAAAAAAAAGAGTGGGTCAGGTCTAGGCTTTAGGTCTAGCATCCCCAAATTATGTTTGCTAAGGGTGTGCTTGGCAAAACACACCCTTATGCTTTAACCATAATTTTTATGTCCATTCTAATTTAATATTTGACCAAACAAACTCCTTTTCAATAACAGAAAACTTCAAAAATATTTGGAGGCCTTCATTAATTTATTTGTGGGCCCCTCACACTTTGTTTTATTTTTTCTTTTTGTTTGTATTTTTTTGTATATGTGCTCAATCTGTAAACTATTACTGTTAAATGCAAATATGTCGTGTAATATTGTTTTTTACTTCCATCTAAAAAGAGTAAATAATAATAAAGGATAAATAATAAAAAAAATAACATAGAAGATTTCTTCTTTAAATTTATTTTTTACAAAAATATTCACTGACACCAGAGTTAGGAGTATCGTATTTTTTGGATTTTTATGATATTTATAAACGTTAGAGTTGGAAATATTTGTAAGAATTGTTCACTGATGCTTGTTAGAGTTGAAAATATTTGTAAGAATTGTTCACTGATGCTAGAGTTAGGAATATGAAAGGAAGAATTAAAAAAAGAAGAAAAAAGAGAATAAATTCTTAGCAATTTTAGCTAAAATCAGCAATGCAGTTTGTCTTATGTAGGACGCTTAAGGGATGATAGCATCTTCTTTTTTGCATAACCAGTCCCGTATCATAAAATCTCTGTTAACTAGGTAAGGTTTCCAGTTATCATAATACGTAATGGCGACTCCTTAAAACTTAAAAAAACAAGATGTCAAATATTTATTTTTTTATAATTGAGAGATAATTTTTAAATGACCGTCATGATGTTTGGGTATGACAAATGACATGAGTTATATCAAATCTTTTTATTTATTGTTTTTTTATTTATTTTTTTTTAAAAATTATTTTTAAATTAAACTAATTCAATTTATTAAATATAAGAATGGGATACTCTTATTTTATGATATTATAACTAGTTTATTTTCTGATTTGTTACTCTAACAATACATCTAGTTGTCAGCATGGAGCTTTTAACGATAGTTTTTAAAATGTCTCGATAAGTTATTTCTTGTGATTGAGTAATGTTAACCGCAAAACAAAGATAGGTCTCTCTATTTCTTCTACTTTTGATATAATGATTAATTATTGCTTTTTTTTCATGGTATTTATAATATTTTTTAAAATCATATAATTAAATTAATTGTACTTATTTTAATACAATCTTAATTTTTTTTAGTTCTTTAAAAACAGTAACATCAATTTGACATTGAAAATTTTACCCGTGATGTAGAGGAGACCACCTATCTAAGGACAACCTTAGCTTACAAGGACGGTTTCTAGTGGTGCTGATTCTTGTTTAAGCCCTGCACAACACGTCAGGATTTTTAAGAAAATGAGGACTATGATGATGGTGACAATTCCTTTTATATTAGGACACTGAGGGTGCCGGTAAAGCCTGATTTTGAAACTTGGAAGAGACAACTAAGTTATTTTTAAAATTTTATTGCCTAAATTTCTACCCAAAAACCTGACATGTGATTTGACCCAATATAAGGTAGGCTCCGTCTATTTTTGTTCTTAAAAATTTCAAACTAGATGGTTTTGAGAGAAAAGTAAACAAAAAACCAAAATTGATTATCTTATCTATAATGTTTAAAAATATGGTAAAAATTATATTTATTAAAAATTTAATTTTTTTATATTTTTATATTGTTTTGATATACTAATATTAAAAATATTATTTTAATATATTTTTAAATATAAAACATTTTAAATCATAACCATTACAATACTTTCAAACAACTCTTATATTTCATGTTTCATGAGATCCAAACTAAGCTAAATCTAGAATGATTGATTTCTGTATCAATCTGTCGGGGTCGGGTTAGGTTTATTAATAGTGGTTCCACCTAAAATCGTCCAATTATTTGATTTTATTTTTCGACGACGGTGCATCGTGGTATTTGGTTTTTGTTATGTCATTGCTTTAAACGTCACGACGCATGACAGACTGACGAGGTGACAGTTTTGTTTTTAATGTTAGCATCTGTAAGGTGGTCAAGGAACGAAGCCAAGTTGTTTAATTTTATGTACCAAACTGCATTGACTGTTTGGCAGAAGATATGAAAATTTTTTTAGATTAATGTTGCTGTTCGCATCATTTTATATATATTATAATTAATTTTATAGATTTTAAAATTAATAATTATATAAATTTTCAGTAATCATCATATAAACAATTAAAAATTCAAATTTAAAATTAAAAAAAAACGAACTTTTTAATTCTAATTCCTTATCATTTAACCAAAAAAAAATATCAAACTTCACCCATGATCAAATCACACAACATGATACGTCATAAAATTTGAAATAACATAAAAAATAAAATTTTTAATTTCAATTCCTTATCATTTAACCAAAAAAATATCAAACTTCACCAATGATCAAATCACACAACATGATACGTCATGCATCATCATGACCACATTTGTCAGGAGTACCAGTAAGTATTGCATCATTCAGTCGAATAAACTGAGCTCTTAAACACCGAATTATACGAGATAATTATCTTTAAACAAATGTTATTTTGCATCATGAAATTGTGGTATTTCCGTAATATATTCACATCAACTGTGATCGTGACTGCTATTATATGTGAGTGATCCGTCATGTATATACAACAACGGCGGGTAATGGATGTGATATATTTTTATACCTCATCTAAACAAAATAATACAAAAAATACAAAAAAAAATAAAATACAAAAAAAATTGAGAAATATTGGAAGAATGTACTAGAACACGCTCAGGAAGCTGTTAAAAACTAGTTAGGGATGATAAAAATATATAAAATTACAAAATTTATTAGCATATTTTTTATTGAGAATGATTTTATTGGCGAAGAAAATTTAAAAGTAAATGTTGAAGGCCATAAATGAAATTTCTCAAAGTTTAATTGAATTTATTAAGAATTTAATTTAAAAAAACGATTATGAAAGTCAAATCAAGAGATTAATTATATAAATATTTAAATTTGATGGGCAATTAAGAAATTAATTGAATAAATAAGAGATCAAAGATCAACTTACAAAAAACAAGTGACTTTAGAATCGAAATTATTAAAATCAGGGTTTAAATCTAAGAAAATTAAAAGTTTTATGTTCATCTGAGATTCAATTAAACAAATCAAAAATAAAACATCAAATTGTCAAAAGTGCTCAAATTTAGGGCTAGCGATTAAATTTGACAAGGGTAAAAATGTATGAAATTAGGAGTTCAAGGGGAAATTATACGTAAATTTACAAAAATTGAAAGAATAAAAATTAAATTAAAGTTTTTGAAACCCTAAAATAAATCCATAATTTGTAGGATTTAGGTAAAATGACATTATTTAGAATATTGTGCATCCTCTTTTTTTGATAATTTTGACCGGTCAAGCATTTATTTTCAGGTAGATGAATGTGACATTTTCAATCACTTTGAAATTTATAACCATAACTATTCATCTAAAACACACCTCCTGTACAATTCTGTTTTCATAAAATCAAACGCTTACATCTTATGTTCTTTAATGATCTCAATAATATCTTGTCCGTGATTAGCCATCATTGTATTTTCAAACTCTATATTAATTGAGTTGGTATTTTTTTTATAAATGAATGTGAAGCTATATATTTTTAAATTAAACAAGAATGGATATAGCATAAAGATATGCACCCTTTCTATCAAGTTCAGGTGGTCTCAAGCAATATTAACATTAGATTTTTTCCAACAATAACACAAAAATAACTAACTCAATCAGCTTTAACTGAGACATTCATTTGCACAAACCTATCTAACTCTTTCATGAGTTTACACACAAAACACTCATAGAGGGTTATATCAAGGGTTGTAAACCTTCCTTTCAATATCAAAAAGTCAAAAACACTTCATCTTAATCTTTAAATTTATTATAAAACCATTTAAATTCAAAAATCATTGATCATGTTATAAAACCAGTTTAGTTTTGATTTTACTAACAAAATCTTTAATGAAATGAAAAATTATCGATGATATTTGAAGGATTTCTAATTTTTTTTATTAAATTAAATATTATAATAACATAGGATAATGATTATGAGCATAATTTCTTAAATAATGAGTTGAACTTCAATTCATAACATAGCAAGACAGGTAGAAATGCAAAGCTAAAGAAGAATGCGAACATGAATGAATCAATTATTTCACTGCATTCACTACTTAAAAAGCCAAATTAACTCTCTTTTACAGCTACTAAATTTTAATAAAAGAGTTTTACTTTCTGTTAAACAAGCATTAAGTTAGAATTAAAGTTTTTATCCAAACATTTAAAATATATGTATTTCG